GAGAAATGTGTTTAAAAAAAGACACGGTGACTTCTCATTGTGATAATTATTCGTTCGTCATGCTGGCTTTAGGGACAATTTTGCCCTTTTCTGTCCAGTGCTGACTGATTTAATAATTGCAGACCAAGAGAAGGGTGGCACAGCAGCACAATATTTTTGCCTTGCAGCTCTGGGGCTCTGGCTCTGGGTTCAATTTCTGGGGTTCTGTCTGTGTGGAGTTTGCATGTTCTCCTTTTGTTCACATGCTCCGGTTTCTTCCCAGAGTCCAAAGACATGCTGGTAGGTTAATTGGCTTCTGGGAAAACTGGCCCTGGCGTGAGTGTGTTTGTGTCTGTCTGCCCTGTGATGGACTGGTGTCCTGTCCAGGGTGTGTCCTACCTTGCTCCCCTGTGAGCCTGAGGAGTTATCCAATGGAAGGACAGATAATCTCTGTTTCATGGTTTAAAAACCTGTTGAACAGATCCAAATCAAATTGTCTCTGGTCTTCAGAAAGCAATGATTTAATGACAGGGCCTCTCCAGGACCAGAGCTGGAGAACTGGTCTTACTCTTTAAACTGAAATCACCAAAACAGGACAGCGGTGGTCAGCCTTGGCATCTGGATTGTACTGCATTTCAAGCCTTCTCTGCAGCTAAGCTCGTTAGCACTGAGCTCGTTACGCAATTAAGGCTCAATTTAGGCCTTCCTGGACATCCTGCTGTGGCAACCAGTGCTGAACGTGCTCTGGGGTTCCCAGCCCTGGGTGTGGGGCTCCCCACGCACCTGCCAGTTTGCATTCTACCTTAAGGTTGTGTCTGCATTGATTGAACAAGTTACTTGACTGAAATCTTTGCAAGTTTATTTTTCCGATTGAAAAGCTAGAGATCCATTTGGAATGGAAGACAAAGAGTTGAGGTTCATACTGTTACTTGATCAATTAAGGGCTCAATTCCATCAATAGCAGCACATCTGGAGCCAGTCTGTGATCCAAGATCAGGGCTGGTGATCCATGCTCTGAGGGAAACAGACAAGGTGGTTAGTACAGATGGTGATGATGGTGCTGTAGGTGGTGCTCTCCTATTATGACCTCTACTCTAGGTGAGTCTGTTCTGCAGATGAGACCTTAAACCACAAGGTCATGACTACTTGGCTATTAAAGATCCCATGACCCTTTTTGCAAGGTGTCTGGCCAATCCTGGTGTCTTGGCTCATTTCCATACTGGTTTTCCACAATCTGGCCTTCCTAATTCCCCTTTAATTTAAGTAGGGAAGGAATTTGTCCCTCCTCTACCCGCGCTGCTGTGTAATGGGGTTGCGTACTTGCACTGGCAACAGATGAAGTGGGTCCCCTCCTATACCTGCAGCTATATGCAATGAATCAAACTGTTGTTAAGCGGGGTGCGGGGCCAGGTAGCCAAGGGTGCAATATTAATCTGTCCGCACGGGGGGGCAGTTGAGCTCAAGCATCACTGTTGCACGGAGGTCGATTCGTAGAATTACGGTACTTCATAGGACTAAGCAAATAAAGGGGAATTCTAATTTTACTGTTCATATGCCTACCGCCCAGCGCATAATCATCATCATCATCATCATCATCATCATCATCATCATCATCATAATAATAACGGTGTTGATGATGCAGTGTCTTTCATGAAAAAAGCGCAAAACGAAGAAACAAGGCTCATTCCATTCCATCACAACGTGTGAGACCCGAAGGAGACTCCACGGCCCGAAAAGTTGTGTCTGACGCAGCTACCTACTCGAAAAGGAGTAAATCAGAGAAATGGTTTCCATTACAAAAAAAAACAACACAATTACAAAATTTACTGAAATTAACGTTGATGTAAGTGGACCGCCGCGGGAGAGTCGCAGTGTTGAAGTCCAATAGGGGCCAAATACCCGCTTGAAAGAACTTGAAATAACTCCCGGACATGAGAAGTTTGTAGTCGCACTTTTTGTCTCAAAATAGATGTTTGGGAAGATTAAGGCGTCTTTGCTTTCGAGCGCCACAGACTTTTTGCGTCTTACTTTTGCATGATATTTAGTTTTACTAAAACATGCACAAAAAACATTATTATTATTATTATTATTATTATTATTATTATTATTATTATTATATATCTCTTATGCTGTAGGAGACCACTGGCTGCTTTAAGGAGCTGTCTTCCTTTGTAATCTTTTCTTCTTTTTCTTTATAGAATTCTGAAACTTGCAAGTAAAACCGGGTAACCTATTTCATTTATTTAATAAAATCGTTAACAATGCATTTAAAAATCATCCGGATTTAATTCATTGTCATACAAATAAATAATAACAACCTTACCGTTTTGACGAGGTGTCCTCTGTTCTCTTGACCGCAGGACATGCTGGTGTGCCGTCGGTTTCCTGGGTCTGTCTGGGACCCTCAGAACAAACCAACCTTGTATTTCATCTGCCGATCTGGGACACGAGGATGTAGCTTAATTGAGCTTCAGCTCTGTTTTGTATGATTCTTTTAATACATCGCTTCCCTGCCGCTGTATTTCCACACTATATTATTTTTCCGGAGCCGTAATGAGGAAATTCTCCTAAAAAAAGTTACAAAGTATTTGCCGTGCGCCCGGTTACTCCGTATTTGCTGGTTTAAATTATGAGCAGTTATCGATATTCAGCCTCCTTGCTGTTTTAATCTGGCCGCTTTAGTGTGTAATCACCGCCTGCACCGTCTTTATATTAATTAATACCGCTTCGGTTTCTTGGAAAACATGTTCGTTTTTCGTCCTGACGTGGTATGAGAGCTTGTTATTATTACTTTAAACAAATCGTGATATTATCCAAATTAAATTAGTCTTCTTAATTAATTTACTTAAGCTTAATTGTAATTTTCATTCTAATTT